GAAAAAAGTATTCGACCGTGACGCAGCTTGTTACCGTTACGCATGCATTCGCCAGCGCCCTCGACGACAACATTCAGATAGACACCATATTTCTAGACTTTTGTAAGGCCTTCGATAAAGTTACTCATGGGACATTAATCTATAAATTAAATAAAATAGGTCTTTCGAAGGTATTGGTAACATGGGTAGCTGAATACCTGAATAATCGGGTGCAGTACGTCGCCATCGAGGGTCAAAATTCGAGTCTTTTGCCAGTCACGTCGGGTGTGCCCCAAGGCAGTGTATTGGGGCCCTTGCTATTCTTGTGTTACATAAATAATATTGTAGATGTAATTGAGCCAACCGTCCAGATTCGTTTGTTCGCAGACGACTGCGTTTTATTTCGTGAAATTCATAACAAACATGATCAAATAGAGCTACACAAAAATCTAGACTACATATACAAATGGTGCAACAAATGGGGTATAATTGTAAATACAGAAAAAACAGTTTCCATGTGTATAACTCGAAAAAAATATCCCCTTCACTATGCTTACTCCCTTGGTTCATCTACACTTAAACAGGTCAATAACTACAAATATCTAGTTGTTACGTTCACTACTAACCTGTCTTGGAATTCACACATTGAAAACACTTGTGCATCTGCTTTCAGAAAATTATGCTTCCTGAGACACAAGCTCCGCAATTCACCACCAAGTGTAAAACTTCTGTGTTATCAATCCTACATTCGACCAAAATTGGAGTACGCATGCGTAGTGTGGGATTCCTACACCAAATGTAACATAGACAAATTGGAAAGAATTCAGAGAAAAGCAGTTCGCTTTATATATTCTAAATTTCGTCACACGGATTCTCCATCTGAACTAATGTCAGCTAACAACATTCCACTACTTCAGTCTAGAAGAAGGCAACTGCGCTTAGACTTCCTGAGTTCCTTGCTTAACCATAGAGTTGCGATTGACCCTTCATTGTATTTAACCCTTTTGTCAACCAGATATACACGACATCACCAACCAAACTCTTTTACACCATATTTTGCTAGAACAGATACATATAAATTTTCCTTTTTTCCGCGAACAGTATCTGAGTGGACCACCTTGTCTTAGTGTGACCGCCCTGCATAGTATGTATGTTTGTCTCATAGTGTATATTTGTTAATGTAGCATTGTATATATTTCCTCATCTTACTCACCTTGTTATTCATTACGTTCGTGATCAATCTTAGTCCTCTGTTTTTGTGATTCCTGATTGCCCGTCCTGCTTGGACCACGTTTTGTAGTCTGCAGTATGAATAAATAAAATAAATATAAATTATTATTATTATTATTATTATACCTCCAGTGGCGTCTTCTTGCATCTTGTGTTAGTGAAAAAGCACGAAATGATGGCTGCAGATGCGCCACTGGCATACCGGGTCGGGTCCACCTCCTGTTGACACAGGCCTAACTAAGGTACTTAAGCTAACTGCGAGAGCCTGCTCTACTTCAGGGAGGTAGGACCGTGGTGGCACTTTTCAAAGAACCCGTTCGCTGAAGCTTCACGCAACCTTAAACTTCGGTTGGACTGTGATCTATAGCAAGTGATGTTCGCTGAACAACGCCCCAACACCTCGCTGGCTTGGCATGATAGGGAAGCTCCTTACACCAATTTGATGCCGGAGACGAAGCTCGCAGTGGTCCTCCTACATATCAAGCGACGTTGTTGGTGGTGGGCTGCTACGTAAGTTCAGGTAAAGTCTACACACACACACACACACACACACGCACGCACACGCACACGCACACACACGCGCACACACACACACACACACACACACACACACACACACACACACACACACACACACACACACAGACTACGTAATCTGGACGACGGTTGAGAAGAAATCTGTATATGAGGTAAACAGACTTGCTAATTCGACATCATGCTATCCGACATCAAGTGTAATGCTAATCCAACATCACGTGTACTAGTATAAAGAGTAGTAAACGCAACAGCACAAAATAACCATGTAAAGTCACAACAAATCTAGTATCTGAACAAAATGTCGACACTTATTTACGCGTTGTAGTATAAATTACGCCGATATATGACCCGGTACTGAAGACAATGGAAACGAAAGTATGGGCGTTGCTTAACCCTGAGTAGTACAATTTGAATCACGTGGGACGTATAGAGTATGAACTTACCACTTCGCGCATCCGTCTCAGTTCGAATGGAAGGCAAAAACCATCTTTTATTCGATGTATTGAACCTCCCGAGCTTCCCTCCGAAAGCTTTCTCCAACTAAAGCAGTTTTGCAATGCCCCCGGGATCGGGGGCGTTGTAAGCTTTTCTGCGCCTCATCGTGTTTTACTGGCTTGTACATGAACATTAACCAACTAGCCGAGAAAAGAGTACTGCTAGACATTATCCACAGGAGTCTAAAGTATTCAACTAAGGTTTAAATGCGGCTTAAAAACACCAAGTATAAGCTACTGTTATGCGCAATACTTTGAGTGTAACCACGTCGTGACATTGAAAATATGGCTACTAAGGTTAATGTGGATGAAGTTGGCTCCTTTGTAAGCGTAAGAGCTACTCCACCGGCAGGTCGACAGCAGCTGTACCACTTACTCATATTGGCACATTTCCTTCCGTTAGCAGCGATATCTCCTGTCAGCGCTCTACATATTTGGCAGGCGCTCGAGTGAACCGGAGGGAGTGCGTAATGGTTGTAATGCCCCGTTCCCATGTGGCCACACGATATTGTGCAACCACCGGAAACAATACTGGAATAGGCTATAGATACGTGTTCTATGAAATGATCCAAGCCACTCTGAGGGGTCTAGGTGGTTTTTTACCTTTTCTCAGCTTTCGAGATTTCGACCCGTTATTTACAACAACAACAACAAAAACTAAACAAATACACAAGAAGTAAGAAACCTCGCGCCTGTTTTTATTATCTTGTTACGCATTCGCCTGAAATACTAGCGTCTCGCTTCAATGCCTTCTTATCAATCATAATTACTCGCCGCCACCATTGAAACGCTTTTTTCCTCACAATTCATTTAAGATGGCAGGTGGCTTTAGTTGTCTCCTTATGTCATGGTAATTATAAGCAGCAACATAACAAACATTGTGGAAGACCCATCAATCTGGTAAGTGTGTTAAGGATTATTGTTGTTCTGCCCAACGCCGAGAAGCAGCGATATGTAGCAAGATGAAGCGGTTCGTACGCACTATGACTTTCTTGTGTTTCCATTGCGGACGGTGGCAAGAGAGAGAGAACTCCCAGGGTCTTGTTGATAAGACACTGGGAGTCGGACTTTCATTATGTGGATATGGAATTATATGGAAAGGAAAATAACTTTGTTGTGTCCCACAGAACGCGACTGGGTCACACCCGGTTCAGCACACGCCTTCGTCGTCCATTCACGTCCAGTAATACCAAACTTAGTATACGTGAAGCTAGCGAAACGGCCATGAGCACATCATGAGCGCGGCATGTAGTCATGTTACATGACACCCACCTCATGATTATCATGTCTGCACAAGTCACATACCTTCGTCATCCATTCACGTTTCGTAATACCAAATATGATATATTCGAAGCTAGCCAAACGGCCGCGAGCGCATCATGAGTGTGGCATGTAGTCATGTCATTACATCACACGCATGTAATGATTTTTATGTTATGGTCTGTCGATTGTGTTCGCCATACAGTCATGTCATACCACACCAATTTGCCAACATGTCATGTGAACGAAATCACCGCAAGAGCAGCAAGGCTATGAAATGTAAGTCATGACATTCATGACATACGTGTGATGAATTTTCATGTTATGACTAGTAAAATATGTTCTTCATATAGTCATGTTGTGCCCTACCAAGTTTGGTATTGATACCTCACCCGAAACGGTCCAGGAGAGCTAAAAGTCGTAGGTGGCTAGATAGGCAGATACGCTCAATGTCGCCGAAGTTCGCTAAGAAATGTTTCGCATTTATTATAAACAACAGCAAATTAGATCATCTAGCTACGCTCTATTTCAAGGCTTGGCACAGCAAGTACAAAGTTTTCATAGTTTTTTTTTTTTGCTGGGGAGCTTACGAGCTCCTTTTACATTCTAGTGTGTGCGTGGATATATACAATCGCGAATATTGAAAAAACAAAAACAAAAAACAAATCAAAGTTTGAATCTCGTCCACCTGCTTCACTTCTCCAGTGGTGGATTATCCTCTTTCCTCGATGTCATATCCCGTATCTTAGCACAATAAGTGAGCATGCTTTATCATCAATTCACCTACGATGTTTTGTGAAATGAAAATATGGCAAAAACATTCGTAATTACATCGCGCAGCGAGATAGGACATCTCAAAGAAACCAATTAGCACAGGTGCAGATATTCGGCCTTGTTGATAGGACATTATGCAGTAATTAGCGCAATGTAAAGCAAAGAGAAGAAGCAAGGTAACAACAAGTTCGCACTTGTTGGGCCTCCCCTTTTCGTTCTTGTATCTCAGTGTTCTTAATATGCCACATTCCATTTCTCAAGTTTTGTTATCGCCCCAAAACACTACACAATTCTCAGCGAAAACCGCGCCTGCAGTTTTCGAGAAGCTTCCGGACTTGAGTAGATCACTTCAATAAGATCACGCCCACTCTGCGAACTGTACAGATTTTTATGGAACCTACGCCACCACCAGCGATAACGCTCGAACATTCGACGGCAAGAGTATAAATGCCGACGCACTTCGCCGCTGGACTGTTGTTGATCGAAGGCCGACGCTCCATTCGCCGCTATCAGTCCAAGACTGCTACTGTAGTCTGACTTTCCGTTTACTGGGCATAGGTTCGCCCAAATAAACAATTTATTATTCGACTCGCGGTGTGCTCCATTCGTCCACGTCACGACTCCGTGACAATATTGCATACAACACAAGCAACCATTTAAATTATGATAACAGGGATGCTTTTTCGAAGGTCATTGGGGACACAAGTTCAATGAAATTTCAAACTGTTTTTGATGCTCAGCCTTATTTCGCTTTATTCTTTCTGGCTTCCAGATCTTTAGTTGAAGCAGTGGCAATTCGTTGTTAGGCCGCATATATGTCAATGAGCGACTTCATATTGTCACGAAGGTAGCTCTTCCAGCCGAGCTCGAGGTATGGCATTGCCAAATTGCTGATGGCCCTCACGAATTTACTCGTCCTGTCGCTGGCTCCCGTCACGAACAACGTCGGGTCCTCAAGGTTGTCGGGTTTGACGGTGTGAAGCCGTATTTGGACAGGACCGTTGGTGGTTGGCTGAACCGAGAACAAGAGCCGCAGGTTGGTGGCGGAGACCTTAGAAATGCGGAGAAGAAATCACTCAATCAGTCAACTAATTAATAAACTCACGTGTCCGATGCGCAAAAGACTGCTTCCGTAACCAATCTGCCTTCAGACACCCTACCTTGAGGCGTAGTGCCACACGAATTGTTTCAAAAATTAGAGTGCCTACTAAGAAAAAAAAACAAGTATTTTAACGCGATAGCGAGCTTGTTTCATAGAAATTCCAGCGTCGGCATTGCTATCAGCGTCATTGGTTGTGAGTGAAAAATCTTCATCTTATGCGTGACCGAAAAATTGAGAATGATGCAAATAAATCAAATAAATTATCAATATCCTGGATCGGAGTGGGTACCGAACCAGGGCTGTTTGCGTGGCAAGAGAATTTTCCATCACACTGCCACGCCTCTGCTTGTGAAAACAGTGAAAACAACTTTCTATGCTTGGAAATGCAGTGAAAGTAGCCTTCATGCTTCAAAGACACACGCGTCCTGTATACATGCTTCACAATGCAACATGAAATATTGCCGTAAGAATGCGTGGTACAAGCGTCCATCGCCAACGGGATCAGAATATCTGAATATCACAATGGCTCCGTGGCTGAAAGCCGGTACCCCACCACAAAGGCACACACGTTACTGCGCCTATTAAGTCAATTCCACGTAGTGGGTGCATCGCAAGTTCAAAAAGGTTTCATGCACTAAGTGTCTGAAGTACGCACTAGGAACAGGATGTCGTTATCGCGTTCAACCCCTAAAGGCGAAGGTTTATTCCCCTAATTTTTTTAGACAACATGCAATCACTATGCCGTAAGACGACACCATGCCACCGCAGTGGGGCAGTGAATATGGTACTCGGCTGCTTACCCGAAAACCTTGCGGTTGGATCCCGACTGTGGCGGGGGCATTTCGATAGCAGCAAAAAGCTAGAGACCTGTATTGGTGCGATCTCAGTGCAAGTTATAGAACACCACTTTTTCAACATTTCTAGGGGCTCCAATACGACGCCTACCATAATCATATGGTGGTTTTGAGACGATTGTGATAAATATAACTTGAGAGCAGTGACAGTCTGGAAAATACCAAGGCATGCTAGGTATATCAGGATTCATTGAAGATATATATATATATATATATATATATATATATATATATATATATATATATATATATATATATATCACTATCAGTGTAACTTAGCTCGAGCCTGGCTGCATAAATCGGTTCTTCATTGGTAGTGGATGGTACTTCTCGTTCTCCCAAGCCCTCTCGCCTGTTCCTGCTGGAGCTCCGCTCGTGTCGTCGCGCAACACCCCCTGCCATGGCCGCCCAAGAAAATCTTGGCTCGTTTAATGCCGCCGTCCTACTGCAGCCTTCGCCACCCGCTCTGCCAAAGAACACCCGCCTGCATGATCTACATGTGTTTTCCGGTCTCCGAGGTGATGATGTCGAAGGCTACATCTTAAACTACGACCTCGTCAGCGGTCAGCGATTTGAACAGGTGGAACAATCCACAGAAGTTGCGCAGCATCTCCAATTTTGCTTGCCAGAGGTCGCTAAAATTTGTTTCTGGAACCACCAGTCGGATATATATATATATATATATATATATATATATATATATATATATATATATATATATATATATATATATATATATATATATATATATATATATATATGCAACTAGCTTGCTTTGTCAAGCGGACTTTACAGAAAAGTTTTTCTGTTATTACCCTTTGGAATCAATATAGCAGGTACACACAGCCTTCCAACACCCTCTTAGAGGGTGTTAAAAGTGTAAGAACACCCAAACACCCCAAGTTCTATTTTGCGGGACATCCTTCATCCTGGTTGTTCAAACAACACCCTTTGTTTAGGTGTATCCAAAAACACCCATAAGGTGTCCCTCTGGGAAAAAGCCAGTTTAAACCCTTAAGGGAGTAAAATTTTTACTGAGAATGATGCGAGCCCATGGTATGCATGCGCGCAATGGCTGATTATCGAAGAATCGTTGCCGCGGCATCATCCAGGCATCCCGAAAAGCGGCGCCACCCAACCTGTCGCGGCTAATACGAACTGAAATTGTCCATATTCTTTTGCTCACAAGTGTGCATAGTTTTTTTAGGAGGCTGTAGGCCTTGCATGCCAAGTTTCAGAGGATTTTGTTGAACCGATGACTGGAATAAATCAGGGAACCGTTAAGCTTCAGCTTTACGAGTTTAATGCGATAGCGATATTCTGTTCCTAGTGTGTACTTCAATCAATTCTGTGTATGAAATCTTTTCGAACTTGCTGTACTATGGCCTAAGGCTGCAGAAGCATGTGTGCGCTCTTGTAGTGGGTGGCTGGCTTTAAACTATGAAGTCAATATTATAACCCCAGATTAGAAGCAGTAACTACGCGGACGAAATACAAGCACCTAAAATTTCTATAATAGCTTTGTTGAATGCAGTCTCGACAATTAGAAGTGACTAGTCAAAAGATTTCGATGCCATCATCCTCCCCATAACTTGTACTTGCACGGGAGTGGTCTCTCCATATCACCTCTGCCAATTTCACGGAAAATCGGAAAATATTGCACATTACGTTTTGTAATGTACGCACAAAATACTGTCGCGTTATAACTCGATTTCTCATTACTGGTCATTCAAAAATAGGCTTAACCTCATCGCATAAAACTGTTTTAAGCTTTGGTGCTTCAGGCTTGGGATACTACCACAGAGATGCGTTTGATGTCATGTGTAATTTCAAGATAACTACTCAACGAGTACCGTTTTAATCGGGTATAGAAAATTCTTCGTAATTAGAACAAGGTAAAATCTGAATTTTCTAAATTGTCGTATTCAAGGTTAATATGGCAGTCTGTAATACAGGCTCAAAAGCATAATACTTGTAGTTCAAATTCAATGTATTGTGCAATATTGCCATTTCATTCATTTTCCGAATCACATACCATTCCTACAATAACATTTAAAAGTCTCGACGTCGCATGCTTGCCTAATTACCCAGAGGGGGTACGTGCCATGTATTGAAGAAAAACAAAACGAAGCAATTACAATGAATTCACAAGCAGGTGAGTAAATGTGGGTTATTTACTGCCTGTACCATTGTACCACCAGCTACACTCCGCAGACCCAGGACGGGATGTTCTTGAACGAGTAAAATGCATGCTTCTAGAGCAAGGGTTTTAAATGTTTTTCTTTAAATGTCACACTGGTACATTACCAATTAAAACATGGTTGGAAGATTGGCAATTATTCTTCCGATGAGACATACGCTGTTACTGCTGTAATAGAGTAGAAAGAAAATTGAACACGTGTTTATAGTCTGTTGGAGCAGGTGTTTTTATGAAACCTAATGCAGAGAAACCTAAAAAATTACCGTCAAGTCCACCTGGCATCCATTTTCGTTCTGTTAAAACCGAGGCCGGCTAATTATGCTTCTTGGCCTGCGCAGTATATGACAAACCTAATGTGCTTTTGAAAATGCCGATGTAGAAGTGCAATTTTTGCTGCAATACTTTTGCCGGCGTCTCTCATAATCATAAGGTGGTTTTGGAACGTTAAACCCCACATATATACAATACTTTTCCGAATCAGTGGGCCATTTTCTTAATGTTCTGAAAGAGCAAGTGGATGTACCAAAGTGGATTGTGCGCCAAATCACTGATCAACAGTCAGCTCAGAGCTGACAGTTCTTCATTGAATTTCGTAGGTGTATACACACTTGTGTTTTGTCGAATAAGTGAAATTTGACAAGTTTTGATATGCAAGTTAATCAAGAAAGAAAGAGGTGTGGCTGTGTGGTAGAACACCCGCTCGCCACGCTAATGACCGGAGTTTGATCTCCATTTTGACCCTGTATTTCTTCTTAGTTATCTTATTCCCACCTTTCTTCAATTTTCGGTCTTGTGAATATGGTCTGTTTTTTAATCACGCAAAAATCACGATTTTTCGTTCACAACCAACGGCGCCGGCATCGACCCGATGTGGACGGTGACACTAAAGCAGAATTTTTTGCGAAACGAGCCATTTAACGCTATCATGAGAATACGAAAAATTCACTTTGAAATTCGACATATGGCGTACAGTGCTTTTGGAGTGGGATTTACAAAAAACACGAATATTTGGTGCTGGTTTCTTAGCTGGCACCTATGATGGCGAAACCTTTGAGAATTTTCAGAGTACAAAGTAACAGTCTAAACCGATTTGCTGAATCACTTAGCATCAATTTAGGATGCTAAAGTAATTCTGCGAAAGCGACACAGAAAGAGACGTACCGTGGATCCTAATGTTCCATTGCTGCTGGTGCAGCTCCTCCAATCCACACTGATTCGCAGTGGGTCCTCGGCGAACACAACGACTTCGATGAAAGTGTTGTTATTGGCACAGAATACGTACGGAGGTTTGTAGTACCACAAGCTTCCTAAGCCTGCCAGTTGCGGATTTTCGAGCGACAACGTGCTTAACCAGCTGTCGTCCAAGTAGCCCATTCTCATTGTTTCAGGTATTTTCCGTAAGAAGGTGTTCACGCTGTCGGTCCAGTCATTGTCCGGAGTGTGATAGCAGGGTCCTGTTAAAACAATTTACCAAGCGTTATACTGGTACCAGGGTAAAGGAATTTCTAATTTAGAAAGAGATCACACATGCAATGTTGATATGTAAATAATATGGCAGATTTATGCTCGTTGTCACGAATATATAAAGACTAAAACATGATCATGGTAAAATTATGCTTTCGAAACTGAATATCCAATTTTGTTTGCTCTACTCGTTTGAACACAACTGATGAATAAATTATCAGCTTCTTGCTCAAAACAAGAACATACAACTCACCCTAAAGTGCGTTTATTTGTTTGAAATACGTTTATTACAGAAGCATCCACAGTTAACCAATAAAAAGACAAGTGGGAAGAGTTTCTTATTTTTTATCTAAAATGTACGAATGTACGAATATTTAGGCTTCAAGCAAATTCAAAGTCAGCAGAGATACGATGTACTAGTTTCACATTTACTTTGAATAGTATATTTGCATATGAAGAAAGACAGGCCATATTTTCTATGGTACAGCTAACCTGCAAAGTTTTTTTTCCAAACATAACTTGTCCAAGTGTCAGTATTTCTTATCGAAAGAGAGTACAAGGCACTTGGAATAATACCGGGATTACACTTTCAGCAAAATGGAAGTTGTAACCTGTAAAATACGTAGTATACTTGGAGCATATAAGCCAGCATGCCAAGCTTTTAAACTTAAAACTGGATTAATCGATGTGAGGATAATGTGTGCACTTAATTTTGAACGTGCCTCACACCTGTTTATATTCCTTTTATCCAAAGGTGCTATGAATGCATGGTAATTGAGCATTGCAGAGAATTTACCTTAAAAAAAAAGAATGCAGTTGGCTTATGCGTAATACGTTCATATGGTAGAGCACAGAATTTACAATAATAGTAACTTTTGTGGAAACCAATTCGAATACTGTAATATTTGTTTGAATAATCGAAGTGCTCGAACGCTCGCGCATACCTAGAAAAAGGTTGAAGTCCAAGCCGAAGTTTATTCAACATCGACAGTATTAGTTGGCAGAAAAGTATGTACAAGATTGGTAATGCTCAAGGAGCCCCAAAATTAAGAAAGTGGAGGAGGGGGGCTCGCACACAAAATGTGAACAAGAAATAAGACATACAATATCCTTGACGAAAAAGAAAAAAAAACAGTGAGAAAATAAGTGCAAAACAAAAATACGTATATGTTTAACAGACAAAAAGAAAAAGATAACACTGAAAAACAGACTGGATATCGCAATACAAAATTAAAGAGCACTATAACACCTACATAAAAGAAGAAAATGCTAGGATGAAGACAGTTCTTGCAAAAAGTACTTGGTTTTTGAACGCGTGCGCTGTGGCTGATTATTTATAGATATAAGGAAGGAAATTCTACAGCTTGATAAACCTATATAGTGGCTCGAGTTTTTAACTAGGCCCAAAGAAAGCGTTCATGATGTAAACGAATTATATGCGGCAGTCATGTCAGAATGGCAACATTTTGAAAGTGGCGGCATGGCGTAGCATTGCACCTGCGCTCTTCAATAGTGTTGTAGGAATCTGGGGAGATGAAGTTGTCGCCCCTCAGCAAAATCAAAGCAATCGCTTCTGCACAGAACAATTATATCCTTCGAGTGAAGTAATAAATCCATAGTTATTTAGGCTGATATGACGAAGAGTGTTCTCACCGGTGCTATTGGCGCCATATTAGAGGGGACAGAAGCAAATGATTCCCTTTTTGCATCATATTGCCCACAGCCTCTATCCGAAAAAAATCCCCACTTCGTTGTGAAGTGTCCCTCTTCACAACGAAGTGTCCACTTCCAAAACAAATGCCAAGAAAAAGGCCAAGACAAATGCTAGGGTTTTCGGAAACAATGTCAAAGCGAGCAGTTAAGGACGGAGATATGTGAATCACTTAAATATTGAACGAAGTTGTTTATCACTGCTCATTTGCATACTTTACCGAGCGGAGTACGAGGTGAGATCGGCGCTGGCGACTTAGAAGAATACGCGAAAGGCGGCAGCGTATGCTAGCCACGCATGGCGACAGATGTTCACAAGTACCAGGGAGGGTGACTTGCCCTTAGGCAGACCAATGTGCCTCGAGACGAATCTCCCCAAAAAGAAAAGAAGTAAAAAAAGTAGTAAAGGGCCATTAGTTTATTGCAGCGTGTACACATTCCTTCCGGTTCTTCTAGCAAATTTTATGCCAAGTTTCTTCCATTGGCCACGAATGATCAAGGCCTCTTTCCCTTGTTCAACATAGAATTAAAGGATGGCTTTGTTTGTGAAAAACGTAGAGAGGGTGTGTAGTGGTGCTGAGCTGAAAGGATAGTACGATTTCGTGTATAGTTGTGCTAAGCTGGAAGGGTAATACGACTTACCTGCAGTAACCTTCGAAAAGATATTTTCAGCACTTCCGAGGTTATACGTGGCGAACAATGCGAGCGCAATGACTAGGGCTCCCATGTCGATCCGGAGTGTCTGTGCGTAGTCTGTGGAGGATTGCAAGAGTAAATGCGATACAATGTACTGTGAATGAATTCCTTAAAAAGGCATTTTTGTTTAACAAAATTCTACTATAAAGCCGGTAAAAAAGCCTGAGTGTTCGAAGCTGCGCAGGAAAACTTTCGTTATAATGAGTGAAGTTAAATTAACGTTTCTTTCTCAGTTTTTGTTCTCCTTCTCTACTAGACAGACATATGTCTATCCTTCATTTCAGGCCTTCTAAGATTTGGCGTACATCCTGAAGGGTGTGTAGCATTAGCACGTACTTGCCTTTCATGCGATTTAAGTCTTGCGTGGTATGCTACACATCAATACAAAGCAGTAAAGCACAAGTCCATGAGAATTGATTAATTGTTCATGAATTGATGTCACAGTAGGGGCCCAATAACGTCATCGTGTAGTTTGTTGAAAGTCATCAAGGTGCAAGAACCTGCAAGTACGCTTGATGGACAGCAGTTCGACGACACAGATGCACTCGTGACAGTAATTACCAGGAGTGGACATTGGACTAAGTTAGTGAGAATTCATAGTAAACGTAATGCAAAAACGTAGACGGAAGAGAGGAGAGCCACACAGGAATGCGCGCTAACGCTCAAATAAAGCTGAACTTAAAGCTGAGTATCCGCTTTAACTTGCTCGTCAGATCGGAACAGTTCATTAACATCTAATAAATTAAACTGCACCTGCTCTTATGTGCGTGGCTGGTCTAAACTAAAGAAAATTAATTTGCGGAAATGTGGTATATAACGAGTCAGTACCGTTCGTTGTTAGAAGCATTAAAGAATCAAGCTAGTCAGGTTTTGACGAAAAAACTGCTTTTCAGCTGATAGTCTATACAATTTTTAAGCTGCCGTTCCCGCAATCTCAAGTCGTCTAAATGTAAATAAATCACAACACGATGTAAATGTATCATTGAATAGAGAGTAAATTCGTAAGCCTGAAACACGACGGGACAATACATGAAAGAAAGTTCGGTATAATAATAGATGAAAACTGAAAGTTCCAGTGAGTTTCGGGGCTGAACGCCTTCGCTGGAAGACACCTAACGAAAGAAGCATTCATGAGCGACAACGATATTTGTGGATATTGTTAACCTCATCGAACCTGTATCTACCAGCTGTATAAACCAGGCTGCGGCGGCCACATTTCCATGCTGAGAAAACACCGCAGGCTCATGTGTTCAAGTTTAGGTGCGCGTTAACTGCTCGTTAGTCCAAATTTCCGGAGCCTTTCACTATAGTGCCTCTCATCATGTCGCGGTTTCGGCTAGTAGCACCGCTGTAATCGTTGTCACAACGAGAAATGTTTATTGCACAAACTCGCAAAACTTATGCTTGCAATATTAACAACATAAACATGATTTTGATGTGCTGACACTCATAGTGCTATGAAACAAAAATTACAATACTCACCCCGATTTTCAGTGTTCTGCCTTGGCCTCTCATGAAACATGCGAATGGAGGCTTATATATATGTGCAACCTCTGCGACCTGCAAGGCTTAGAAGAGCTGCAGTCGTGATATCTCTGGTCAGCATAAAAGAAAATTAGTTACGCTGCATTTTGCATGTTAAAAATTTTCTCGAGTAAAAAAAGTAAAACTAACACGCTTCGAGGAGAAGCTTGAGGCAATCTATCCTTTGCACGCGCATCCTGGATTAAATGAAGGCTGATAGATATGCGAACTCTTGAGACAGCTTTCCGAGCAGCAGCCCATCATAGCATGTAGAGTTTTTTTCTTAATGACACGTGTCGGCATCGACATTGTGACACAAAGTGGCCGCGACGCATGTTCGCGCCGATTACACAGCAGCCACAGAGCAGTACACATCCGGCGAGAAACTGAATCGCATCCGTTTGCCCAAGCGTGGCGTGTATGACCAGGTTTTTCTTTTTCAGCCATATGCGAGGTCGGGTGAGTTTCACCGATGCCCTTCGCGACTATTACACGCAACCAGAAAAAACAGAACCAATTAGGGCTCAAACGGAAACATACAGGTCAGAATTTCTGCGTGGCACTCGAGCTATCTACAACAAGGCCATACAAGTTTTTGACCAGATTCAGAAGAAAAAAAGACTCTATACAGGCGTTTTGTCGGTAGCACAGTCAAGATAACCGATGTAATTTTGCGTGACACAAGAATAGACCTGCATCATGCACCAAACCATGATATTTGCATGTTGAGTGCGTAGGTAACACGACCGCCAATCACAAAATACAATGAGACAAGTCAGAATTCCCCATCAGCAACAGCAGCAGAAGCAGTGATCACGACATCATAGGAACACGCAGCTACGTAAAGGCTAGTAATCGCTTGGATATATTTGATGAATTCCTCACTACATCGCAAAATTTTGGTTTCTGGCATTGCGCGTAGATGACAACAATAATTTAACTAATAGACACCCTGAAACAGATGCCCGGTTCACAAGTTCAGCGTACGCGAATCGACTGCAACAGGCGCTCCTGTGATGGTCACTCCTTGGGCCACTCCGCCGAAAGGCTAACTGGCCAACGCAGACAGGCGTTGTATGTGACCAGTGAGGTGAAATGGGTTACGTAAGGCGGCAATGCTTTGCAACGCCGAAGCCCGAATACAGGTCATTCATTAAGCTGCTCCGGCCGGTGACATGGAACACTGGCAGTGTCGCAGTGTACGGCCTTCAAGGCACGAACATGGAACACTGCTCAGTATGTGCAGACGTGGAACATTCTAGTGAGTCAGTCGTAGTTCTATTCGTTTGCCACCTAGCGCATGTGTATTCTCCAGAGCCACCACTGATGGTTAAATTACCGGGAATCATCGTGCCTGAACTTAACTTGTTGATACTTATTCTGGGATCTATTTAATTGGTGACGCATTCCTGGAACAGTGTACAGCTGGAAAGCTTCGTAGCGCAAATGTTTATTTGTGAATGACATCAAACGCCTTATGAAACACTGAAAGTTGATGGGACAACAGAGCACCAGTGATTTGTGTGCCTGATCTATAAGCGCCCATGCAACTCGTCGGAAAGTTTGTTGCAGGCGAAGGGTCCACACTTGACTTTCCGGCAACAACCTACCGCCTTCATGGGCAGTCCAGAGAACAAAACACCCTTTGCGGAGAAAAAAGACTCTGCACCTGGAAACATGAAGGCGTCACAGCCACGCATAACACTCTGCCGTCAGTTGGCACGAACGCCCTCGATGAATTCAAGGGAACGATTCCCTAGCGGAAGAAGCTGGAGGTTCTGCATGCAGACATTGTTCTCGGGAACGCTCACAGAGCGTCCTGAAGAGACTGACGTACTAGTGCATCGCGTGAATACCGGAGACGCCCAGCATAGGCGTTGCAACCTAAGACCACTGAGCAAGCACAAGCGAGTTGTTGTCGACACAACTCTGGGCGAAATGATTGATACTGGTGCCGTGCCCCGGAGCAAGCAAGTGCACGAGAGAGCCCTTGTCGATACAAATCTGGACTAGATGATTGATACCAAAGCCGTGCCACCCTCGGACAGTCCGTGAGCCTTTCTATAGGAAAACCCACAAACTGTACAACTGGGGTCATTCCCACTATAGTGGTACCGGCCCCAACGAAAGACGGTATGGAACGTCTCAGTGTAGATCGCCACAAGCTTAACGTAAGTGGTGGTGACAGATTCCAATCATTTGCCAGCAATAATGACCATAACCTATGCGGTAGGATACGCAAAGCTCTTCGCGTCTGTCGATTGCTATTGTGGGTACCTGCAGATCGAGGTTGGCTCTGACGATATCCTGAAAACGGCGTTCACATGCCATAGATTCTTGTTTGAGTTTGTGCGCATGCCCTTTGGTCTTTAAAATTTACGAGTTTCTATCAGAGCATGATGAATATCGTCTTGAGCGATGCAAACTTTAATTATGCCCTTTCATATCCTGATGATGAGACAGTATTTCCATGCACGTATGAAGACCATGAGGAACACTTGCATGCGATTCTACAGTGCATGTCAGCAGCAGGTATACCAACAGTTCTTCCTGAAAAATTGCAGCTGAATACTAACAAAGTCAACCTTTTGGGTTTGTTGTCGATAGTAACATACTAAAACTAAACCCAAATAAGCTCCTAGCAATTACATTTTTATACGCCCCAAAGACGAAGAGTTTGTAATTGCTTCTGGGAATTATTGCTTTTTTATTGTGATTCCACTGCACAGTTCCCAGACATCACTCAACTACTGACACAGATGCTCAAGAAATGCTCTGAATGGCTCGAGAGCAGTGAACATGCAGCTTTTGACACGCTTAAGAGCGCGATAACTAGTACCGTTCAAATCAGCTGCCAAATCTGACGAAACTTTTTTTTGTTACAGATCAATGTCGCGAATATGCCTTTGCGGCACTACTTTTATGGGAGTGTGCCGGCGCTGTAAGACCCATTCCTTTCGCAAGCTACAGTTTCATTGGAGCAGAACGCAACTACTCGGCAACAGAGACGGAATTCCTCGCCGCCACTTTTGCCTAAAAAAGGTTTGACATGTTTTTGCGTGGAAGTCACTTTGT